GATTTTCTGATTTTTCTGCAACTCTGCGCAAATCTACTGTAATGTTATTTGTATTTTTAGATGTTCAGGAAGCTGATAAAATGCATGTTTAATATCAAAAAACGAACAATGAGATAATTTGAACATAGAAATTGGTTAACGATGTATCGAAAATTGCTTGTCTACAAATAATGGGAAATATATCGTATCGTGTTTTTCATCTGTGATTTTTATATATCTTGACCGAGGCTTGATTTTTATGGCGTGGAAGTAGAAAAAACAGTTTTCTTACGAGATTCAATTAATTAATTATTGTCGCTTGTTGATCTTTGTAATTCATCTGTATAGAAATATTCGATGAATCGTAGAACGTTTTATAGCACGCAGAAATTAATAGGTATGCAGAACTAGTCTTCGTCGTTAATCTGTTTCAGTAAACCGGTTTATTAAACGTGCGGTTATTGCTTCGTTAATTAAGCTATTTGAACAGCGAGCATATTACCAATACCGGTATATTGACATTCTAACGTAGATATGTCTCGTATCAGGCGTTAATTCGATGCAATATGTGAAAAGCAAAAATGTGTCGCATTTTGTCGTGAAAGACGCATTTTGCGTTACAATTACGCGGTGAATTTCAGTATTACGATATGATTTAGTACATTATTAAAATACTATATACGGAAGCAAGATCGTTTACTTTCTTAAAAAATATTTAATTAAACAATGTGTAACTACCATAAAAGTAATTTGAAGTTAATATTTTATATAATCTCCTTTTCTTTGTTGAATACATAATTGTTTTATAAGCTCATTTCATACTTCCTACCATTCTGCTTTCAGTTACAGTATTTCAAAAGACTGTTTTATATTTTTTTTCAATTTTATTTTATCTCTCGGATTTTGTTCTTTGTTTCTCTGATTCATATCTATTCTATTTTAAATCAGGGATTACGCATATTTACCAAAAGATTTTTACAAAATTTAGGAATAAAAAAGAACCATGAATAAGCAATACAGAAAGGGTAATATGAAAAGATTAAATACGAGAATAACGCGTAGAAACATTTTTAAAGCCATATTTAATTATCCTTTTATCCATGTTTTTGTACGGTACGCATTGTATTCGTATGCATAAATGAATCTGAAATTATGAACGCTTGCTTAGTTTTTGTTTCTTTCCAGCTTTTTCCTAGTAGTGTTACGATCGACTGATAATACAATAAATTGCTTTCGGCAATCGAGTCTCGAAGATTTGACGTGTTAATCGCATTTTTTTGCTGGAATTGTTCGTAGCCAACTAAACGAATTACTCGAGTAATACGATATATCAATCGATGGCTCATTGTAACTCGATATTTGCCCGGGATACATGTTGTTTAAATATCACACGTTGAATTTTCCGTGAAATCATTCAGCCCTGGCGGTTTAATTAATTCGTGTGTTTAGATATTGTTTGCGGAGAAATATGATATTAATAATTAATGCCATTATATTGACGAGTTGTTAAATGTAATTTTCGAAACCCGTGGAAAATCGAGGGAGTTTTTCCGTTCTGACCCAGATGACCTGGAGATCAATACTTCCGATCGTTTCATCCATGCGTTAAATTAATTTTCCATATTAATAAATCGTCGACGTATTAATTATCACCGTGTTAGTCTGTGACATACATGAATTACGAGCGCGTAACATTTATCTTGCTTTTTAAGAAAATGAAAAACACACAGTGAATTACGAAAAGCATTGGAACATTTAATTTTATGGATGTAAAACGTGTGTTATATTAAACATATCGAAATTTCATTAGTATCATAATAAGATCCGATTATTATGTATACATTGGTAAATTTAGAAAGAAATTTGTAAATAGAAGCTACAGGTATTTAGTGTATTTAGACGATGACAAAAATACTATTTAAACATGGTTTAGGATGGCTACACGAAGATTGCAAAAAAGCAATGTAATAAATACAATTTTGTTAACTTTCTGGTTTTAATTATCATCAATAATTTTGAGAAATCAATATTTTTGATGTACATACTTCTCAAAAGAATGCCACAACCGAATCTAATATAAAGATAGATTGGCGATATGAGATCGCATAAAAGCTACTGGATTTTAAAATCGTCCTCGTATGAAAAGCAAAAAATATGACGTATTACGGTTTTCCCTTGTGGTTTCTGTATACTAATTTTTAACTACATACAACAAACATATTATAAATTCGATACATATACACATTTCACATCAGTTCCAAATATTAATATAATCACGATAGTCGTATTTCGCTTCTCTATTAGGAAAATTTCTATAAGTTTCGCATAACACACATAATACAGAAAATTTTCTAATGCTAAGTGTTCAAATATTTGTATGAATTACTATAGGCTACGGTAAGCACAACGTTTGTGCTGGAATCCACGTTTTACGGAAGCAGTATAAACATCGCTCCGAATAGTCGTCATGCAAGTGAGCGCGTCCATTTGGTAAAGCTATTTCAATTTTCTCAAAGCAAATGCACGCTGAACAAGCTAAAATTGCGATGGCTGAAACTCTAGCCACAGGTGTTATTTACTAATGTTAGCTGGTGCGGTATCAATAGTTACGAAATTCATTGTACATTAATTAACAAATTCGAAACAATAGAGAAAGGGAACTGTATATACAGTTCCGTGGAAGTCAAACTAATTTTTGATTGTTATTCCGTGGTATACTCTCTGGCCACCGAACCAGAATCAGGCACCAAAATGTCGCTATTTTAAATTTCATATAAAAATCTGAAATCTCTAAAATTTATATTCATCATAGACATTCCTCTGATCGAAAGCCATTCTCTTATTCTCATAGATAAACAATTAACACGACTCACATATGTACATATCGCTGTAGATATTTGCAGCCACAGTTGAAATCACTTGTGTAGGCGATACTTTAATTTTAATTCCCTAGAACTTGTCGTACGAAAGACGAGAGAAAACATGGGAAGCAATACTCTTGCTTTGTCTTTCTTCTTATCTAAAATTCGCTTACGCCCTTTAATTGTAAATATTAAAAAATTGAAAAATATTAAAAACTTTAGGTGATTCTAATTCGACGACCAGTTACTAAGAAATTCCACGCATACTAAAACCACGTGCTCTCATTGTCCTGCTCCTCCATTCTTCGCCAGCAATCGAAGGACGGATTCACCCTTCTCTTTTTCCCCACAACTTCCTGCCCCGAGCAACGAAGCTGTAAGAAGACTAGCTAAGAAATTCTATGTATATTAAACTAAAGCATCCGTTTCCGACCCGCTATCAAATATTCAGTGGGGAAAATCTCGTACAGCTAATCCCATCAGCGAGACATCCACAATCTAACGCGCTAATTGCCATGGCGATACGCATGGGAATTCAGGTCTGGAGGGCAGGCGCGCGCTAACTATCGGCGCCTTTGTCACAGTCATCGTCGTCGTCGTCGTTGTCAACATAGTCGCGATACAAAGTTTGTCGAGCGTCGTGGGTATACATACAGCAGGCGTCGACCAATCCCGGCGGCGTTGACAGAATTTATAGGGCTTAGCCGACGCGCCCGTCTGTTCAACCTATTTTCTGCCTTGGACGTGAGACGAAGACGAACCAATGAGCCAAAGGACGGTTCAACGGAGAAAGAGGAAAGCTGGACTGCTCGAGTTAAGCGCGACTATACACTACTCCTTCCGGTGTTGCAATTAGCGCCTCCTTAGTTGGCTACGCCAGTCTCGTGACGATGCCTAGCCGCGGAAAACCGGCCGTGCAAACCATTCTTCTCGCTCTTCTCCCTCCTTCTAGTCTTGTTCTTCCAACCCCTTTTCTTTATATGTATAGCGCTAGAGTTCCAGAGTTTCTACCCTCCGTTGGATTCGGAACGTTTACTCCCGCGAGCCTGAACATTGCCCCGAAGGGACTCGTTCCACCGGGCATCTTTCGTGGAATTTTATGTCTATTATCATTCCCTCTGATGTTTTCGGCTAATATCGTTCTCAATGTCTTTCGAGAAGTTATAGGGAGTTGGTCAAGGAATTGGCGATGAGTATTCGAGGAAAAGAGAGGGGAGATGACGTTGAGTGAATAAAAAGGAAGCAATCTTTTGTTATAACGTTGGGATAAGATACTGTAGAAACGTTGAAATTTTAGATAGATTTTCACTCGAAAATATGAAATAATGAAAAATGGATTCGAGATTCGAACGGAGACAATCTCTAGCCGATTCGATTTCCTCAGGATCGAAACTCTCAACTCTTCGACTCGTTTCTCAATTACATCGCAATTTTAACAGTTAACCCATTTGAAGCTTCACACGAAAACTTAAGTTCGTCTGCCGCCGGCAGTTTAAACGTGAAGCTGTGCGTTGCAGTGATAAAATACCTAAACTTGATTGTACGTAATTTCTGAGTGGATTACTTTTAATGCGAAATAAATGTATATTAAACGTTATTGCATTAATGGAATTTCCTTTAAAGACAATATTAAAAGGTAATAGGTATTAGTACGTGCAGAATGAAAAACGCTAAGGAATTTAATGAATAAGTTAAACATACATGAAACGTAAGCTAACGAGTACGATCTGCGTATCTATTGTCTTTATAACTTTCTTATAATATTACGTTATAACATCCATAAGATTTATATACTTTTAAGTTCGAAATTTTTAAATAAAACTAATATTGCGTAGAGAAACAGCGAAAACAATAGATCGCACTCGTAATAAATCTACGTCAACGTAAAAGTGACAGATTAAGCGTTAAAATCTCACGAGCACAATAGACATTCTTGCCACGTAAATCTTCTAAAATTTTTCAAGTAAACTAAAACTCACGACAAATATCCTGGCATAAACATTCGCTAATTCTCGATCACTCGTCATCCACACGAATTCTCACTGCCGCGATACACGATCGAAGCTTAGCTAGAAGCAAGTTTGTGACCAATCGAGGGCGTTCAAGACGGAAGATTAATAGTAGTTCACGGTAGAGGTATAGATATACAGAAAAACATACGTTCTCGAAGGGTGACGGAGTGGAAAGTCTCCTCGCTGGGTTTGCTCCGTCCCATGGCGTTCACTGCCGATACACGAAAGCTGTAGACGGTAAATGGTTGCAGGTTCTCGATGTTATAGGTGGTATCGTTGCTTGGCGTTATGATTTCTTCTGTTGCGTTCCATGCTCCACCTACTCCCGTTCTGAAAACAATCGCCCGTTAGTCGTTAGTACGGTCCGTGTAAATATGAGCGATGATTTGAGGGGAAAAGCTGTCGCTTCGAAAGCTTTTGTTCGCTCTCACGGTTTTGTTTATGGAGTAATTGCACGCGTGTGCGAAAGTTCGAAATATTCTGCCGTTAGTGAAGCGGGTACGCTGTGCTAAAAATATTCCTTTTATTCCGATAGATCCGGAAAATAAACGATTTCAAAAACTGTCCGTGTCATCGTACGTCTATACCCTATGAATACATCCCTTAAGGGTTGAAAGCACAGGCTGTAAATATAAAATATTTCTCATTATATATACGGGCGAATTACGAGACAGTACTCCGATCATGCGAAATATCGTAACACGTCATGGCAAACGTTGCACGTTTCGCGGTTGATTAGAATTCAATGGATCGTCAACGAGAAACCGACGATTGTATTTAGAAATTAATGGTAGCGACGGATCGCTGACGATCCGGATGTAACGTGCTTGGATCGGATGTAAATCGACTGCGTGGACTGCGCGCGCGATTAATTAATGGCCCCGTGTCGGCTCGCTGTGAACAAACAATACCGTTTTGCTACGATCCACCGGTTCTACCTACCTAAGTTCCGATGACGGAAACATCGTTCGACGTAGAGTAATGAGTGGTCGAAGACGCAACACGCCCGCCTCTGCTGCGAGATTTTACTCTCTCGTACGTTATACGCGATTCTGCTCCTCCCCCATCTCCTTTATCCCTAATTAATACCATCCATTAATTGTCCCACGACCCGTTTCGGAAAGTTCTCTGGCAACCGTGCTCTCGAGTAATTGCCACAGTTTCCGTTGGGCCGAGTCGGTTTTTTGCCGCCAGCGAGATTCGTTGGCTTCTAAATTCTAAATGGTAATACTATATTCGATACGAATTACCTATCGATTGGATATCGATTGCTGCTTCTTTTCCAAGAAAATCGAAAAACTTTAAATATCAAAATTACTAGTATTAATGGTAAATTATTCGATGTTCGGCTGTCGTGTTCACGTTTGAGAAGAATAAGTTAAATTCGCTTGGATTTTCAAGTCTTTGGTATCAGTACATTTGACGTCCAAAATATAAAACGGAAACATTTTACTTGCACCTCACATTTCGGAAAACCAATTTAATTAATTCGTTATTCTGTTGAAGAATACTGGATATTTCAGTTGGTTCGTTCTTGCGTTCCTTGTGATACACGATGTCCTAATTGCCCTAATTGAAACCACTATATAACCTGTACATTTTTCCCCGAATCTGAGTTTCTTCAAAAAACGTGTACTGCGAATTTCATAACGAGCAATGGCGTTTCTTTTCTTTTTTTTCTATTATTCTTCGAAACTCGGTTTCGGTTCGACAAGCCATTTGAAACTGTAGAATTTTTAAGCATCGCTTGGTTCCATTCTGTTCATTCCCGGTTATAATGGAAGTAAATTACTCGACTGATATTTTAATAGATTTTGTAAATTTATTTTCTTTTTCCTAGCTTGTTGTCAATGAAAATTTCCAAGTGGTGCATGCGTTTCATTCCTCTCAACTCATTTTTATTCTTGGTTTGTTGGGTCACAAAATTATGTTTTTTAGCCATTTAGCGCGATCGTTTTTCTCGTCTACGTAACGCGATATATGGTTCCAATTTGGATTTAGTAATTGAAACTGGTACCGCGTTTATTTCAGAAACATGATCATTGAATACGGTCGATGAAACAACGTATTAGTTTCACGGTGTATTTACATTTCCAGTAATGCTGAATACGGTTTATCGAACATTGTACAGAAAGCTATAATGAGAATTTCTAACATTCCTAGTCATTAATGAAATATCAAAACTGATTAAAAAAATACGTGAAGAGGTCAACAACATTGACAGTTCAATATTGTTGACATCTCGATGTGATTGACATTTGCGATTTGGCGCCACTAACAATTCGTTGCCATTAATATCTTGCCTTTACTGTTACTGACAATATAATATAAAAGTAACAATAAAAGTAACAATAATAATATAACAATATAAAAGTAAAATGTACAAACAAATATATTTAACTAATTTGTTTTCTTTTTACCGATCATTCTTCTTAAAAATCTATAAAGGTAATAAATGTTGAAAGTCCATATTATTTTTGTAATACATAACGCAAATGTTAAAATTAACAGACGGAAATGTGTTTCTCTTTTTATTTGAAATCCTCTCTTCTGGTACTTAAATAAATTCTTTAATTTCAGTTCCGTAAATAACGCGAAATTCGCCAGAATTAATCACTGACAAAAATTACGTATAGTCAATGATAAAGATGATCAGTATAAAATGTATTACAAATATAACAGCACGATCGCTCCATTTTAATTATTGCCGTTTTAATCGTTATTCCAGCGATTTATAAAACTTTATTACGTCATACAATTTGATGCATGTGTTTTTGGTATTGTTCGCAAGAAAAATATTCAATGATTTTTTCGGCTGGCACAGGTAAATTGTTTAAACGGTTGAATCGAGAACCTGATGTTTTTACAATAGATTTATTTGGCAATACGTTCAACTATCTGTTATGTTTAAAAGTTGTTTCTCAAAACAGTAGACGCGGAGAGGAGCAGCGAGGAAAATGGGATAATACACGGGTTATTTTTACATTTTTTTTGCAGCACAATCCCTTCGCTCGTTTTCGATGTCGCGAGTCGTTCGATTCGCCTCTCTAACTCCAAAAATCAGCGGGACACAGAGAGATGAGAAATCGCGTATAAAAATTATTTCCAATCCCGCAACGTGACGATTCCCGCGGGAACGGCGCGAAAATAAAGCCGATAACTCGTTTCCAATTAACGTCACTTGCTCATCGTTTATTCGGCTCTTCGATTTGCTTATCGTTTGTACAAGCAGATCATTTCAATTTTGGTCACGCTCGGGACACGATCATTCACTGGCTTTTCCAACGCGGGCGAAATCGATATCGTTGTACCCGCGTCGATTTAAATTCACCCCGACTATTTTCCCCTTCGACTCACCCTCCCATCCGCTCGTTATTAGATCCGCGTTTACCGGCACGACTGTGTATCGATTTCGAATCTATCGCAGTCTAGTTGTCTCGGCAAAGGAAAAATGGAAATTCGATAAGTCAACTGTTCTTCCCGTCTCGTGTACGAACTGAGCGGAGTGGGACGAATTCGTGAAAAAAGATCACGCAAACTTGAAAACTCGGAATTCGTTTCATTTTGAAAGTCTGTGTCCGCCGCCACTGAAAACGACAGTTCGCCCGTTCAGTTCTGCCAAACTCTCTGCTTTCCCAGCCGACGAAAAGTTTTACCCTCGAAGGGATACGGACGGCGTTTCCCAAGAAACGAGTCATCGTATCAGAAATTTTGATTCGTCGCTCGTTCCCAGCGTGGCCTTCCCCGTGCCCCCAAAATAAATCGTCCTTCTCTAACTTTTCGATCAACGACCACCGTCCATAAGAGGGAAATATCGTCGTATGAGACAGAGGGCATTCGTCTTTCCTAGGAACGGATTCAAGTTTCCATAGTTTGTGTGACAATTTCTCTATCGTGTTATGTGGGCATGATCAGTAGAATTATCTTGCAAATACTCTTTCGATTCGAGCTTGGTCGCAGAACTTTTACAATATCCATTGCCATCCGAATAGAAAGAGAAACTACTCTGGTGAATATCTCTTCGTCCCTTTTTTTTCTCCCCTTCTTTTTGCCCCTTTGATCTCAATCGGGAATCAAGTTGTCGATTTTATTTCAAACGAGAGAGGGAAAAAAAGAGAAATAGGAAACGATAGAGAGGGGAACAGGGACAGGAGTAACGTTTCGTTGGAATTACTCGGCTAAATCCAGATTTGCAACGGTCGCAAAACAGGAATCGATATTATAGTAGGTATTGCGTTATTTCTCCGCAATCCAGAGTTATCGAGCTGTCCGGTCTTTACGAGAATCGTGTCGCGCGACTCGACATTGCGTGTGCGGAAACTTCGTGTGCAGGTTATGTACCGCGGGCGAAAATAACACCGTGACTGGGCTTCGAGCGTGATTATCATAACGACGACTCGACGAGACGCGACGTGAAACCGGCCTCTGCAACCTGTTTGATTCCATCGATTTCAGAGAGCTTTTTTTTCTTCGTCAGTTTTCTTTCACGCACTCTCTCTCTTTCTCTCTCTCTCTCTCTCTCTCTGTCTATCTATCTATCTATCTATCTCGTTCTCACTTCCTCTGAGCCATTGACTGACAGGTAGTGCATCGAACCGTTAGAACAGCTTCAACGACAGAGAAACCTTTCAACGACAGACGTCGATATTAAAAGTGACCGATATCTGTCTCCCCTCGAAAAAGTCGGAATCCCCGGCCGTTTTCGACCAGCGTAATACCATGATTGGCCATTGAACGTACGCTCATGCGAGCGGAAAATTGTATACCGTGAACAGCTACGGTATTAGATGCTTGTTGTGGATTTCGAACCGATCGAAACATCACATCGTGTAATACGACCAAATGAATTTCTATATCATACGGCTGCCACTGCTGGGGTCGTCGTCCTGTGACACGCATTTTATGTATGAAACATCGAGGCCAGTGAAAATATATCTTTCCCTGTGTTGAAATGAATTATTCGCGATCGAAGATTGAACAGAGATTTCGCTTTGTTTGCCGTTCACCGCAATCCGCGGAATGAAAAACGCCGAATGCCGCGCACGAGAATTTTAATAGAAATAACGATAAAAGGGACTGCAAAATGGAAGAATTTCCCCGTTTTTTCGAGGGAACAGAATGGGACGATCTAACTTTACCTACCGATAAATTGCGAATTTCTTTCAGACATATCGCCTTTCATTTCGATCAGCGCGGATAATGGAAAAAGCATTTTACGCAATTATTAACGACGAGAATTTTGTTCGCGTTTAAATTTTCCCGCGGCGAATGTTTCACGAATTTTGTTATCCAGGCTCAACCGAGTTTCTCTTTCGCTTCTTTTTTTTTTA